AAAGATTTGCCACCTTGGAAACCCAAAGGGAGTCACTATGAAGTATTTTTTTTTTTTTTTTTTTGGTTAGTTTTGGTGTATACAGATGGTGCAGTGGTTATAGCACTTGGCTGGTAACCAAAGACTGGCAGTTCAAACATACCGGCCACTCTGCAGGAAAAAGATGCGGCAATACGCTTCTGTAAACATTCACAGCCTTGGAAACCCTGTGGCAGTTCTACTCTGTCTTATGTTGCAGTTGACTTGATGGCAGTGGGTTTTTCATGGACATGTATTAACTATGCATAAAATACATATGAACTATATAGAAATGTATGTATATATACATTCAACCATTGTTTCCTGAGAAACAATTTCCTACCTACCTACCTTTGTCCATTTTATTCCTGCCCCCTGGAATGCCACCCTGATTCTGACCATGTCTGCTTCTTGAAATCTTACCTGCCCATAATGGACTACTTAAAATTTCCCTTCTTTTATGAAATATTTCCTGAGGCCTCCAACTTTTGAACCTCTATTTCTCATCTCTTACAGCATTTAGCACATTCTGTTTAATATTATAATGATTTGTATCTTTGTCTTATTTTCCATTACCATATTGTAAGTTCCACATTTGAGACCAAGGTCTGTGTCTTCATCTGGGTATCTGCTGTGGTCCCAGGACAGTGAGCTTCTGGTAGGTTTTTGATAGAAAGTAGTAGACTGGTTTTCTTGTTGGCTGATGAATTGGAGTAGACGGTAATTCCAAAGCAATAGTTCTAAAAATGTTTAGAGCAATGGCAGCATTTTTAGAATCATCATATATGGTAGTTAAGTTCTGTGTCAACATGGCTGGGCCTGGTTGAGTGGCTGGGCAGCTGGCTGTAGTTATTTCCCGTGATGAGACTGGTAATCAGCTCCATGGTGGAATCTACTGGAGCCGCTGAGTAGCTGCTTTAGGAATGTGACTTGCTTCCAGTGTATAAGGAGACGTTTTGAGACAGGTATCTGAGCTTTTGGGCACATTTGGACCCTGCATGTAGCCAAGTCTTCATCTCAATGGCCTGCTATGTTGTCGGCCAACCTTGGGACTGTTAACAGACTTGAATTAAAGCCCTGCCATATTGCTTGATAACCTTGGGACTATACCATTTTATTTGTCGACCTTGGATTTGTAAGCCTCAGCAGCCGGCAGCTGCCTGAGCTAAGAGACACCTCCAGCTTCACTGGGCTGGGAGCAAGAGGCAGAGCTGAAGCCCAAGGTCAAGGGGCTTTCACCCAGCCCCTAGTGCTGGCACTTTGCACTTGGACTTCTAGCCCCTAAACTGTAAGAGAATAAATCCCTGTTTGTTAAAGCCACCTGCTTGTGGTTTTCCTGTCAGAGCAGCACTAGAGAACCAAAACAGAAATACACCTTAATTTAACAGCTACCTTAGATGGAGCTAAGGGGTTAGATCATGGTGATTTTTATATCCATCTTTAAGTCTTTTTGGGTCATCTACTGTTTTTATTGTGACCATCTATTACCTCTATTACAATCCAAAAAAAAAAAAAAAGAAGTTCCATTTTGAAAAAAGTGAGACCAGATACAATTTATTTTCAAATTTATTCTGAGACAATACATAAGAATAGTTTTAGCTATAAATACAGAAGTCTTTATACATTACAATATTGTAATTTTGTCAGGAAATAATAATATAGAATATTTAATATATTTTAAATATATTTTATTTGGTTATAAAGTAAATATTAAATTTAATGGCAGCAGTTAACATTTGAGGCACAGAAAAATCTTTTAAAGTTAAAAAACCAAAAACCAAACTGACTGGTGGTGAGTTGATTTAACTCATAGTGACCCCTGCTTGCGTTTATGAGGCAATATCTCTACCGAAGTAGATTGCCCAATCTTCCTTCTGAGGAGTGGCTGGTGGGTTTGAACTGCCAGCCTTCTGGTTAGCAGTCAAATGTCTTAGGCACTACGCCACTAGAGCTCCCTTTTAAAGTTAAGTTAGCAATAAAATTCAAATTTAAGCATTACATCTACTCCTCAGTTACTGACTTTTATTATCCAACATTTCATATTATGACAATAGTAAATAATCTACTATCTGTTTTGCACATTAAGGACATATGTCTGGCAGTAACAACTGCTGCGGTGGGAAACAAGAGTAATGCTGCCGGTGATGGTTAAGTTTACGTATCAACTTGGCTGGGCTCTGATACTCAGTGGTTTGGAAGTTCTGTAATGACGTAATTTGGCAGTTATGTGATGATATAGTCACCTTCCATTTTGTAATCTTATGTGGCCATTCTCCATTTTCCCATGATACTGATTTTTGTATCACAACATGGTGTTTGAAACCTAACCATGTCAATAAGTGAGAAGTGGGTGTATTGTAATACTTTTATAAGTAAGTTATTTAATAATGTTTCTCTTGCAAAAAGAAAGATCTTGGTGAAATCTGTTCTTTTGGCAGACTGTGGAATTCCGAAGTTGAAGCCTCAAATTTAAAATAAGCAAGTTATTGATATTTCTAAGCTACTCATTGGGATCTGGAAAATAGTGCATACAAGCTATATTTTAATGCTCAGTCTTGGAAGTATGGCTGAGCAACTGTTAAAATGGCTTCCCTGGAATTTAGAGTTTAAGCATCATTTCCCTCCTCAGAAGTTCAGTACTGATAAGAGGGCAAGGGAAGAGGGAGAGTTAGGTTTGCTTGGAGGCCAGTTATTTGGCATTAGCACCAGTCAAAGGTTTTTACTTTAGTTTTCAAGGCCATCTGTGATTCTGGACTTTAAATAGAGGCAAGGATGGGACAATTCTAGCCAGCTGTACCTGTTACCTATCTTTCGAGTGGCTTCTTGGGTATTTTCCTAGAGTAGTTTTTCCCAAACCTTAAGAGTACATTAGAATCACTTGAAGGGCTTGTTAAATCACAGATCCCTGGGCCTCCACCCTGAGTTTCTGGTTCAGTTATCTGGGGTGGGCTTGAGAATTTGCATCTGTGACAAGCTCCCAGATAATGCTGATGCTGCTGGTCCAGGGACCCCACTTCGAGAACTCCTGGCCTACACAGGTTGTGGTTATCGACTCGCCCCATGTGCCAAGATAGAACAATTCATACCATAGGATCCTTTCAGAGCCAAAAAGGATTACTATTAGGTGAATCTAAATAAGTAATCAAAGTAGAACACTGCACTTCTCAGTTTAAATGTCTTGACAACAATCCCATGAGCATATGAAAATATGAACCATGGCTGCAGTCTGCTGTCTCCTGGGGTCATATTTTCATTTGCAAAGCAACTGAGACTGAAGCCAGGACCGGAATTAAAATATTAGCACCACAAACTCCATCTGGGTGAATCGAGAGTTTTCAGCACTTCGCCTCATGAGACCCCTCAGAGTGTGCACTCATCATGCATGTATGGTTTTGAATGCTTTGTGGCTCTTTGGATTCTCAACATTGTCCACACTGTGGCTTCTGTGAAGCCTAAGAGAAACTAGAAGTCCTGGGCCCTCCCTGGGCAGAGAACTTATTTACAAACCTTTACTCAGGACTGCTGAATTATGCTCATGAAATAGTGAACACTGACAAAGGAGAGAAAAAAAAAAAAAAAAAAAATTAGGGACTCAGACAAGTGAGATTCTTAAGAAAGTAAGTTACTATCTTTTTTGGGATATGAAATCAGAAACAAGTCTCTTTCTCTCTTTTGCTTTCCTTATCCCTGTAATTTAGCATAGCACCTGGGATATGGATGGTCCTGGATCAAACGCTTGTGACAGTGAATGAATTAACAGAAACTAATGTTGGGAATGTACAGCACACTGAGAAGCGGATTTTAAGACATGCAACTGCCAAGTTACATAATTTTTACATTAAGATTTTTACACAGTAGACTCCTTTAATACAGTCTGTAAGCATTTATAACATTAAAGGGAAACATGTTTTACATAGGAAAATTTTGAGAAGGAATAAGGAAATCTGTAAATACTCAGGGTACATGGAAGAGTGACAGTGGAGAGAAAATATTTAGAGCCTGATAAGGCAACAAAAGCCTCAAGTTCTTTCGTGGATCACTGAGTACTCCACCATATTGGGCGTGCAACAGCATTTATAGAGATGGAGGGGTGGAACAGCTAGCCCTTGTATTTGTGTGGGTGCGCTGATAAAAGAGAAGTTAGACACATCTCAGAGTAGGTCTGAATAAATATCTTATTGAAATTAAATAAGTGTGAACCTGTAAAACGAATTTGCTTTGTAAATTTGCACCAAAATCACAATTTTTTTAAAAAGAAGTGAAATTTTTTCTACTCTCAGTGCAAACAGGAGGTATTGCTGCAGTGAAAGGATTTCCATAAACAAACAAAACAAACTTCAGAACAAAACCATACAGGATTTCCAAGGTTATTACGGCTCCATTCAGGAAACCAAACCCCCTCTTGGTCTTCGTCTTGGGTGTGTTTGAAAGAGCCTTAGACAATCCCTGCACCTCAGTTCAGCTCTGCGTTCCCTTGGGCTTTAATACTCAACAGGTCTGAACGTCCAGGTCTAGTCACGATGCTCTTGTCCTTCTCCACTTGATTCCAGGGTCTAAAGTGTCAGGAAGGGCAGGGCGTGATCTAAGACTGATTTAGCCTCCCTGAGTCCTAAAGACTGGAACAGAAGAGGACAAATGTGGGGAATCTAGTAGACCAGATGGCTCTTGTAGCCTTCAAACACTGTACGATCATCATTTAGGTGGTGCACTGGATAGAAGTGGAACACAGCTGTAGTGGATGTATTGTGTGGTAAATCTGCTGCCTCGGCACAGGCAACTTGGAAACAGCACCCGTTTTGGAGCTCAAGGTCACAGAACAAAAAAGCAATGCACTGTCATGTAAAGGAACAAATTGAGACTTTGTACTCAACAACCATCCAGTGATACCGTCTGGCACGAGAATTCCTAAATAAGTGCACGTTGTGTGTCATGACTTGCTATCTTAGGATGGAACAAGGACAGTTCTGTTCTCTACGGCTTCTTCACTGGCCTGTCTTCATGCACACCTGACAGCGACTTATGATCTTCTCCAGCTCCCCGGCCTTCACAGTTGACGGAATGGGTTTTCTAAAGTTAAAAAAAAAAAAAAAAAAAAAACCCTCACTAATGTATATGGATAAAAAGAGAATCCTTGCTGAGTTTGACTTTTATTCATGAACGCTGTAGCTCATCTAACATATATTACAGGAAAGAAATATTTTTCAGAAATTGATTTCTGGAAAGGTACATGTGCCAATGTTTTATCATTTCAGTCACACTTCAACAGCATTAAGGAGATACAGCCCTTGGAGCAAACTCACAGGTCCTCTGTTTTAGAAATAAACTATCCCCACCGTTTAAGTCATCTGTATTACTCCAGTACAGAAGAATCAAGATGAACACATCATTTTGTGGTTTTCTTCTGCAACTCACTATTAAATTCATTTGTAAATACTAAATACATGAGTGGCACAATACCATGGCTACTCATTGACTCGAGAATGCTTGTCAGCTGGGAGTTGCCAAAAGCAACGGGGTTTCATTGGCGTGTGGGGATTTAAAGGTGAGCACATTAGCACGTAGGTAAAGCAAAACTAACATAGGCAACTTCTGAGTATTCTGCAGCTGAGTCGCCAGATTAGACTTGACTTTGAAAAGTTACCTGAACATTCTCTTTGGGTTTAAAGAAGCCAACCAGAAACTGTAGGAATTTGAATAGTAGTTGCACGTTCCTCTTCCATGACATTCTAGAAAGGGACCGGCTCGGAATTCTTCCAGGCAGGAGCCGGGGGAGGCCAGTGCTTGCCCAGCACCCTCAGAACCTGCACTTGTGAACTATCACAATAAAGATAAATGAATTAAACTCCGTCCGCTGGCGTCTGCATCGTGAATGCGTTTGTGTGTGTGTGTTTGGTAACCTAAGAAAACAAACCAGAGAGCACACATGAATCTTCATGTACGTGGCAAATTCCTGCTCATAATGTAAGCATTTCTTGTACTTTCTTCCCCCACACTTGCTAAGACCCTAGTCCCTGGGTGGCACAAAGGGTTTGCGTTCACCTACTAACCTACAGGTTGGTGGTTTGAACCTACCCTGTGGCCCTGCAGAAGAAAGGTCTGGTGGTCTGCTTCCATAAGGATTACAGCCAAGAAAACCCTATGGAGCAGCTGTACTCTGTTATACGGGGAGCTGCTGCGAGTTGGAGTCAACGCGATAGCAACAGGTCTGCTCAGATTCCAGGTACCTTCCAAGATGAGGATGTCGTCATGTGTTGTCAAGTCGGTCCTGACTCCTAGTGACCCTCTAGGACAGAGCAGAGCTGCCCCATGGGGTTTCCGGGGCTGTCACCTTTATGGGAGCTGATCGCCAAGTGTTTTCTCCTGCAGAGCCCCTGGGTGGGTTCCTACTGCCGACCTTTCAGTTAGCAGCCAAGTGCTTAACTGCTGCCCCACCGGGGCTCCTTAAGATGAGGTACAGTCATCAGAAAGTACAAGCTGTTCTCTCCGCAGGCAATGATGTTTTCCCCCAGGTCTGACTGGCTCTTTCTTGCTAGTCAGGTGTCTGCTGAAGACTACCGTCCGAAAGCCTTTCCCTGACCACATCCCTTCATGATCTCTCACCTTCTCCTGCTGTGTCTCCTTCATTGCACTCATCACTGCCTGACCGGTTCTTGTTGTTAACTATTAGTTTGCCTTCTTGCCTATTCTCTCCCTTCCCCACTGGAATATGAGCTCCACGAGAACAGGAACTTTGGTTCATGCTGGTATCTTCACAGCCTACCAGAGGTCACAACTGTGACTCCTTACTCATTAATTGTTGAACTAAGGATTGAATAAATGCATGGCTGTGTGTAAAGAAGGGGGAGCAATGTATCACAAACAATGCTAGAAAACCAACTGCCTTTAAGTTGGTTATGCTCAAGGTGACTCCATGTGTGTCAGAGTAGAGATGGACCCCACCAGGTTTTCAATGGCTGCTTTTTAAGTAGGTTGCCAGGCCTTTCTTCTGAGGCACCTCTGGGTAGAACTGAACCCCCAACCTTGTGGCCAGCAGATGAGGGCATTTACCGTTTGCACCACCCAGGGACCCCATACCATGCTGGACAGACTGCAAAGCACACATGTGCAACTATCGCAATCCCAGATGGTCAGTCCATAGAGGTCTTCACTGGAGAAATTATTTAAACAGGCTTTCTCTCTTAGTTCTCTTCTTTGTACAAATAAAGATAAGACCCAATATTTTTGAAGCAGACAGGCCTGGGTGGGAACGCTAGCTTTGGCAATTAACGGTGTGACACGTTGGGGGAAATTCCCTAATTTCAGTTTTCTTCTTCGTACAAAAATAGATAATAATCACCTTGCGGAGTTGTTGTGAGGACTACAAAGAATGCAGATAAAGCAGCTGTTGCCTAAAAACAGGCATTCTATTGTCAGGAAATTTGGCTACTATTCATCCACCTGGCTTCATTTAGAATTTGTGGGTAATCTCATTCTGAGAAGTCTTATGCTTAAAAAAAAAACCTCCATTATTTAACAAAAAAACAACTTACTGAGTAGAAAATAATATTTAAATAAAATTTAATAAAATTGATTTGCAGCTTTTAAGGACATATCATGGCCTTTTGTGCATACAGATGCTCTGATGGTGCAGCAGTTAAAGCATTTGGCTGCAAACCAAAAGGTCAGTGGTTCAGACCTACTGGCTGCTCCGCAGGAAAAGATGACACAGTCTGCTTCTGTAAAGATTTGCAACCTTGGAAATCAAACAGGGCAGTTCTACTCTGTCCTATGGTGTCGCTATGAGTCAGCATTGACTCGATGGTGCTGGGTTCACTGTGTGTACTGTTGTCAGGTGGTGCCATTTCTGGGGCCCCACTTTACCGCTTCCAGTAGCAGATCCCACAGGTCATCTGCTATTCCTTTCTCCTTACCATGATAAATGAAAACCCTTTCCAGAGAGAAACCCAGCCCTGAGGACATGGCGGGATGGCAGTGGTTTGGCTGTGAACGGCTATGGCAATGGCAGGACCTTCACAGACGGTGCATCTGTAACACGAAACGAACAGAAACAAAGAAATGGCGGCAGCGCCACTTTAAAGCTGGCCGATGCTGTGCTGCCTCACATCCCAATACGGGCCAAGTGACTCACCTGGTCTCATCACAGAGCAAGGGACTGTGTTTTACCTGCTAATATAGGGCTCCACGGCCCTGCCAGTCACTGGAGCCATGTCCATTGGCATCAGGGCTGGTGTTGACAGCCAGTATGAATAATCGTTTCGAGATGCAAAGTTGCACACGTTGTTGATGTTGCAGAATAGGAAAGGCATTGTGGTGAAACGCTGCAGGCAGCTGCCAAGAGTCCCTGAGAAAACATCAGATTGGGGATCAGTTCCGACTCAACGGCAGTGAGCTGAGTTGTTGAGTTGTTTAGTAATTAAGAGGACTTTGGGTATCATTACTGTTGTTATTGTTGTTGTTAGGTGCCGTCGAGTCATTTCTGACTCATAGCAACCCCATGTACAGCAGAATCATTACTAGGTAGAGGCTAATTTAAACAAGACATGGCAAACAATGGTAAAGACAACACAAAACATTTATTTCCAAAATGTGGTATGGAAAAGTTTCAATGATGATAGAAATCAAAGACCCAACAGACAAACAAATTTGCCTTCTCCACCCTTAACATTTCCTTGGACCTTTCTAATCAGTCTGGAATTGGGGGTCAGCATAGGGAGCTCTGTGCAGTGATCAAGCACTTGCCTGCTAACTAAAAGGCTGGTGTTTGAACCCACGCGCCACTCTGCAGAAGAAAGATTTGGCAGTCTGCTTCCTTAAAGATTTTCAGCCTTGGAAACCCTAGGGGGCAGCTTTACTCAGTCCCACTGGGTCACTATGAGACAAAATCAACTCCACAGCAATGGAATTTTATAGGTCAGCTGGAACAATGTCTTTGCTTCAGACTATGGGGTCTCCATGAGTCAGAATTGACTAGACAAAAACCACCACCACTAATAACAAAATTCCCAGTTATCCATATGCATACAACAGCTAATGAAGAGAGAGTGCTTTAAAAACGGTGTTACTCCAGTTTGAAAAAGCAGGCAGATGGTTTAACTGAAAGTTGTGTTGGACAGAACACATTAGACTGGCATTCGCCAGCAAACTCTTCTGTATCTTTACATTCCAGGATGAAAATCAGACATTAGGCCAGTGTTGTTTTATTTCTCCCTTTAAGAAATGCTGGAGGGTGTTCAAGGCCTTTGACACTAAGCTCCAGAGGGAAGTACAGCTTGCTATAAAAGTAGCAATCTGCATATGGAACAACATAACTGATAATTAGAACTGGGACATTACCAAGGTCTTGTCCATGGGCTCGTTCATTTCCTTGTACAAAAAGGAGAGAAAACCCGCTGTAGAGTGGCTTCGTCCCTTCTGGACACAAGGGAACTGCTGTTGTTTGGCTGTGTCGAGCGAAGATGAAGCCTCTCATGGCTGTCCCAGTTGCAGGTGGTCCAGTGTCTCCTTGTCGTCCCTTTAAACCTGGCAATCCAGGTGATCCAGGTGGCCCTTTGAAAAGTATGTTATAAATATTGCAACAAGGAGGTCCACATCTTTAAAAATGGCAAAGTTGGTTTCTTTCTTGATAAAGTTGCAGCTTTTCAAGGAAATATCATGGCCTGTTGTGCATATGAGGGAGCTCTGGTGGTGTAGTGCCTAAGGCATTTGACTGCTAACCAGAAGGTTGGAAGTTTACACCCACTAGCCACTCCTCAAAAGGAAGACTGGGCAATCTACTTCCATAGAGATATCACCTCAGAATCCCAAGGAGCGGTTGCTATGAGTAGGAATCGACTCAATGGCAATGAGATTTTTTTTAAAATTATGCATTTAGGAGCACTGGTGGTATAGTGGTTAAAGCACACAGCTGCTAACCAAAAGGTCAGTGGTTCACACCCACTAATTTAAATGTTTATGTACAGCTCTTGAGTCCTAAGTATAGAAAGGAGTCCTTAGGAGAGTGATTGCTAAAATCATCAAACAACATGATTAAATGTTGACTTTTACCACACCAGGGATATTATCATAGGTACTTGTGGATCTCCTGTCATGAGCTATCGAGATAGGCTCTGTTCTTCTTTACATTTGTATTCCCCAGTGGCCTGCGTCTGGTCTTACAGACATCTCTTAGGAATAAATGAACGTGTCCCTCCAAAATGTGGCTGAAAAAAAAATCAATCATTTACAACTTGAAATTCCATTGTTGTTGTTGTTATGTGCCCTCGAGTCGCACCTGACTCATAACGACCCCTCCTTGGGTTTCCAAGGAAGTATTACTATGCAAGTAAATTGCCCCAACTCTTTTAGAAAAAAAAACAAAAGAACAAAAAATGCAAACCAGTTGTCATGGGGTCGATTTCAACTCCTGGTGACCCCTGTGTTTCAGAGAACTGTGCTCCGTGGGGTTTTCAGTAGTTAGGGTTTTTCAGAAGGAGAACACCTGACCTTCCTTCTGAGACAGCTCTGGGGGGATTCAAACCCCAAACCTTTCAGTTAGTAGCTGAGAGCTTAAGCATCTGCTCCACTTAGGGACTCCTAAACTCTATTATAGTGGATAATTAAAAAAAACTTACTTATAGTTTTGATAAGTTCAATAAACAATCATAAAAATCACTGAAAATTCTTCTCAAAAATGCAAACTTCAAGAAAGTTTTTGATTAATTAGAAAAGTAGATAAAAACCAAAAAGACAGTTTTTGTTGTAATAACAGTAAGTTTCTTCTACTTACATGACATAAAAACAAAGTAAGTGCTTTTAATCATCAGTATTTTCTCTGATGCTGTAGTAAGCTAATATACATTTCTTACTTTCTAAATATGGACCAGTGAGCTCTCCTCTGTCCCCTTCCACCTGTCCCTTCCTCTCCCCTTCTTCATCAAATAGTTTTTATTTGTGATATTGGCATTGTCGACCACCACCACCTTATCCTTTTCTGCCACCACTGCACCCTGACCCCTATCCCAACCCAATGTGGGCCACAGTCCTCTGGGTCCTGAGGAAAAGCAGAGAGGGCAGAGATGCTTCAACTTCTGGCCTCAGTATCAGGGTGATGTCACAACCAACCATGCCGACTGTGGAAGTCAGGCCATGTCCCAGTTTAGTTCCAACTCAGACGTCAGTACTTTTTACAAGGACTTTTTAAAAGTCCCAATATTGTGTTTTTTGTTCCCCATCTCCTTTGAATTCCACCCACTCTTCTCTTTTTCCAGCTGACAGTTGGCCTTGGTTTTTGGCATGGTCTGAACAACACAGACTAAAACGTCTAGATGACTCTTGTGGCCATGTGCTCAAACAAGACTTGTCTCTATATTGAAGCAACACTGCTTCAGGAAAGGAAACAAGCCAGGTTTTACCTTTTTCTCCTTTAGAACCTTTGTTGCCTTCTTCTCCAACTGGTCCAGGAATCCCAGGTTCTCCATCCTTGCCTAGTCTGCCTGGTGGCCCACAGGGTCCTAGGCAAAAGCCAACACTGAACTGAATTGTTCATAGAGAATGAAAGTTAGGGTGGCCAACCATCTCAGTTACCTGAGACTCTTATCAGGTTCAGCAGTGCATATCCTGTATCCTGGGAAACCCCTCAGGCCTAGGCAAACTAGGATGGCTGGTCACTCAACTTATTAACCCCACTTCCTAGAAAAAGACCCTCAAAAATGAACTATGAATATAGCAGTTTAGTATTCTGCTACCATTTTGATTTATGCAATTCCAGAATTTACTCCACTCATACACTGATGAAGGCAATAAGTAATATCCCTCTTATCTCCCAGTGGATTCAGGCAAACTTAGAGCATAACAGCGTCATTCAGAAGTCTACGACAATACGATAAGCTTATAAAACACATCAGTTTGATTTCCAAACACCAGTGCTTTGAAAGAATTTCATAATATGAAGCATCCATTTCCTACTCTTCCACATGCTATACAAAGTGTCAGAAAATTATAAACGGGAAGAACTCAGGCTCATGCACACAGCCCTCTAGAAATAGTTGAAGCTCCAAGACGGATAGTTGTTAGAGAAGATAGACACAATACTTTTAACTTGACAAAAAATATATATAGTGCCCCAAAATGTTCATATGCACTCAAGTTTATGCTGTGCACTTTTCAAGAGATTCCAAGGTCTTTTATTTACTGGTCAAGGATAAAATGAACTCAGACCTAAGACTGATGATAAGAAAGTTCTATAATGTTTAACATTTTCTGTGAAGTTGTATCATTTTCTTCCAAGGCACTGTACAGGTATATTGGTTTCAACCATTCCCTACTAGTCCAGCTCAATGCTGCCAGTTCTGTACCTAGGTCTCCTGGTGGCCCTGGTGGCCCAGGGTCTCCTTGCATCCCTGGTCCTCCAGGTGGGCCAGGAGGCCCTGGGCTTCCTGGAAGGGAGATGATCTTAAGTGTTCCAGGATCTCCACGAACACCTATTTCCAAAAACATAAGAAGAGGAGGATGGTTTCACTGATGACTTACCACTGCTTCATGGAGAATGATCACCTCCCCACCCTCACCCATTGCTGTTGAGTTGATTTTGAATCACAGCAATGCTTTCATAGGAAGGAAAAATATTTACCAGGTGGTCCTGGAGGCCCAATTGGTCCTGGAGGTCCAATTGGTCCCCGAAATCCTGGATTACCCTTCTCTCCTAAAAGCAAAACAAAACAAAACAAAAAACCCACAATGTGATTCTGCTTAGAAAACTGTATTTCCTAGCTCTTCAGGTTGACAGGAGACTCTAAGAAAAGATTATGGAAGGTTGACTGGATGGGGTACTGTGCCAGTGACTGCAACTCAGTTATGTACATGTGGGTCTTGGCATCCCATTTGGACCCGATGGATCATATCTAATCAGTCTGTCAAGAAACACACATGAATGTAGGAATGTAGATATTAAGAACTTGTATTTTAGTTTTGAAGAGAAAGGGTTCCTAAGGGTTGGCTTTTTTTAGTTCAGAAACATTTCAATTTAATAATTAAAGTAAAATAAGGAGCCATGTTAAAAGTTATTTTAGTACCCTCCTGGTGGATTATCTTGCTGGGTTATTGTAGTTATATACCTTTTCAGTGTATTACTCTAGCTTTACAAATAGCCCACTGTCAGGAATTTCTCTTCTCAGTGCTCAAGAGAGTGAATACAAAATATCAGCTTTGATGTAAACTAACAAAGCGGTAAAATTTATCTCCCAATCATAGTCTTTGATGCGAATAAAAGGTTACCAAGAGCCACTGATTTGGAGAAATACTCTATTGTAAAGAATATTGAAATAGCAATCAGTATATCTGATTACTTAGAAAGACTTCATTGCTAAATATTAAATTAATACAATAAATACAATTAAGTAATTATAGAGTCCAAACAGAACTGGCAATTAAATGATAAATTACCATTTATCATAATTAAACGATAAATTAAATGACAAATGATGTCAGAACTTGAGCAATGTGTTAATATTTACTTAGAAACAACAAAAAAAACAAATAAACAAACAAACGCACTGCCGTTGAGTTGAGTTATCTCTGACTCATAGTGACCCCTCCTTGGGTTTCCGAGCTGATATCACTACGGAAGTATATTGCCCAACCTTCCTTCCGAGGAGTGGCTGGTGGGTTTGAACCACCAGCCTTCTGGTTAGCAGTCAAATGCCTTAGGCACTACGCTACAACAGAAGAAGCCTAAATGTTTTTCCCTTTGGTGATTAAAAATTTCCAAATAATGAAGTGCAAACTCATCGGTGTGCCAGCTGAAGGTCTTATTCTGAAATCCAAGAGAAGAACTGAATATGTTATTTAGCTTCAGTAGAGTCTGTGACAATAGATTCTTGCCCCACAGAAACAACACCGGAGGAACTAATCAACTGAGACCATGACTCAGATATTTAAAACTTTATTCAAGGTCATGGCACACTAATGGAAGCTTTGAGAACTATTTTCTGAAGCCTGAAGTTTGCACTGATGTCTGTGAACATTTTAAACTTAAAACTTCAAAAGTCACAGTCTTTTTCTGATCAAAATATAATATATTTGCCACATAAAAACATTTGCCACATAAAAGTACAAATGTGTAAATATATGTATAAAACTTTACTCATTCTCCCCCACTAACAGTTCAATGCATATTCTTTTGGCTTGTTTAGTTTCTTAAAACTGTAAAAGTAACACATGTACAGGGTAAAACAAATTCAATAAGGTATTTGAATTACAGTGATTGTATTTGCACCCAAAAGAGCAGTGCACAGAAACAATACCTTGCATGCCCGGAAATCCATGGAACCCAGGGTCACCTCTGAGTCCTGGGAGACCGGGGGTGCCTGGTGGTCCCTTTTCAAATAAAAGGAGCAGATCCACAGGTAAATTTTAAGTGTTTACAATATTCACTGACTTTTTTTTTTTTTTTAAAGCAAGTAGGATATACTATTTGCTGGGTGAGTATGAGCTAAAGTGGACAGACATCATTTTTATCTTTCACTCCATTGCTTCTCCTATTGATATTGATTAGTTTTTCAATAAATAAATAAAAAAAAAAAAAAAACCAGAAACCACCATCAATGCCAGTAGAAATATACCTTATAATGTTAACACATGTTGGAGTATTGCATACACTATTCTGTACCCTAAATGGAACTGCCCAGTATTTGGCAATATTTTGGGAGGACCAGTAACCAGACTTCCAGAAGGAACCTTATGATTTGTATGGATGATTTCTGCAAAGGTGGGTGAGCCTTTATTGAGTTGCAGCACCCAAAGGCCATTCTATCTGGGCCAGCAGAGTTATAAATCCCTCCTCCTCAGGATGGTGAAGTCCCCGTTAATGCTGTTGTTAGGTGCCATCAAGCTGGTTCTGACTCATAGTGACACTGTGTACAACAGAAAGAAACACTGTCTGGTCTTGTGCCATCCTCACAATCCTTGCTATGCTTGAGGCTATCGTTGTAGCCACCATGTCAACCCATTTCGTTGATGGTCTTGTTCTTTTCCACTGACCCTCTACTTTACCAAACATAATATACTTCTCCAAGGACTGGTCCCTTCTGTTAACATGACCAAAGTATGAGAGACGAAGTTTGGACATTCTTATTTCTAAGGAGCATTCCAGTACTTCTTCCAAGAAGGATTTGTTCATTCTTCTTGCAGTTCACAGTATATTCAATATACTTCACCAACACCACAATTCAAATGCATTCATTCTTCTGCAGTCTTCCTTTTTCATTGGTCAACTTTCATATGCTTATGAGGCTACTGAAAATACCATGGCTTGGGTCAGGCACATCTTAGTCTTCAAAGTGAAATCTTTGTTCTTTAACACTTTAAACAGGTCTTTTGCAGCAGATTTGCCCAGTGCACTATGTCCTTTGATTTCTTAACTGCTGTTTCCATGGCCATTAATTGTGGACCCAATTAAAATGAAATCCTTGACAACTTCAATCTTTTCTCCCTTTCTCACAATGTTGCTTATTGGTCCAGTTGCAAGGATTTTTATTTTCTTTATGTTGAGTTTTAATATATACTGAAGGCTATAGTCTGATCTTCATCAGTAAGTGCTTCAAGTCATCTTCACTTTCAGCAAGCAAGTTGTGTCATCTGTATATTGCAAATTGTTAATGAGTCTTCCTCCAATCCTGATGCCAAATTCTTCATATAGTCCAGCTTCTTGGATTCTTTGCTCAGCATACAGATTGAGTAAATATGGTGAAAGGATACAACCCTGATGGACACCTTTCCTGATTTTGAACCATGCAGAATCTCCTTCTTCTGTTTGCATGACAGACTCTTGGTCTATGTACAGGTTCCTCATGAGCACAATTAAGTGTTCTGGGATTCCCATTCTTCACAACGTTAGCCATTATTTGTTGTAATCCATTCAGTCAAATGTTTTTGCATGGTCAATAAAACACAAGTAAACATCTTTCTGGTATTTGTTGTTTTCAGCCAAGGTCTATCTGTTGGAAGCTACACCACTGATTATTTCAAATGCCTTCAGGGTCACCCATACTTTCAGCAGAACTTCCAGACTAAGATAGATTAGGAAGAAAGGTCTGGTGACCTACTTCCAAATATTAGCCAATAAAAACCTTTTGGACCACATCACAACACTGTCTGACTTGCTTGCTTTGCACCTATCATCAAAAGGGATCAAGGGTGAGGGAGACCCTGGGTGAGATGGACTGACATGGTAGCCACAAGGATGCACTTAAACATGCCATTGACCATGAGGATGATGCAAGAACAGGCAATATTTCGTTCTGTTGTACATAAGGTTGTCCTGGGTTGGAGTCAACTCACTGGCAGCTATCTGTCTACCTACACTGTCCATGGGAATTGAAAGAGGATGTAATTACTTGAGAATAATGAGATAAAGGTCATAAAAAAATACCAATAGTAATAATAAAAGTGGCCTTTGAAGTTGTTTTTGAAGAAGACCAAAGAAGGAAGAGTTTTTTTGCTTAGATAAGGTCTCATGAGATTCAAAATGGGAGGCACAGTGAAAACAGAACCATCTGATCCACTACTCTGGACCTCTGTGGTGTGGTCTGATCTCCTGAGGCAAAAGAATCCAGGGAGGAGGGCCTGGTGCCAAGACCTACCCCTTGGGTAGGGAGGTGTTCTCTGAAAAGAGGGGGCTGTGACGGCACTGAACAAGTTTAAACATCCATTGAGAAGAATTATCTTTCAAATGCAAAGATAGAAGCCTACAACCATGAGAGCACCGCAGGATTTAAGCGAGCTCAGGTTTCCAGACCATCCTAGTGTCCTGGAAGGACTTCAGATGTAATAACAGGATCAGTGCTGACAACTTTCCAAGAATCATAGAGAACATGAGAGAGACCGATGCACTGGAGGTGAGCAAATATTACACACACACACACACACACACACATTTAAAATGAAAAACTGGGTGAATTCTGGAAACCAAATTCCAGGGAGCTTAATGAGGCTCCTGACAATAAGGCATTCATAAAGCAGTCTCTGACCCTTTAGGCACAGTGCACAGATGCATCACAAATGGTCATTTTTGCCACCTGCAGGCATATCTGACCCAAGCGACCCATCTACAAGACTTTAAGAAGTCAAAGTAATATTTTCTGCACTTACCGGATGACCTGGTGGCCCTATGTCTCCAATGGTTCCAGGGGGACCTCTGGGGCCAGGCTTACCCATGAATCCTTTGTCTCCTTTTACACTTTTTACAGGACTCCCCGGAGGTCCAGGTGGGCCCGGTTTACCTGAATTCAGACAGTCCATCAAGATTGCCAGTGAGGAAGCTTGGCAAGTCCCATTGGTGATCCTGAACCCTGCATCTTTGCTTATCTAAACATGGTTACGTCAAACATCCTTTGTCTTGCAGAGTGTGAAGGGATTATGAGATGGAGTGAGATAATGCCAATGGAACATCTGGCACAAGGTAGGAACAGCTTTGTCCCTGAGAGAGGTCTGTTAGAACAAGGCCTGTATCTGGGTCCTTGTGACCCACCCAGTACCTGCCACACAGCAGGAGCTCAATAATAAATACTGGGTGAATGGGTGCATCTTTCTCTTTTAGGCTTGTTAATTTGGTATCTGCTAATCTTTTCCAACTTCGGCCTCAGGAACACCCACAATCTGGCAGCATCTACGTGCGAGCAGGTGAGTATGGGCAGAATGGAGATGGGTGGGAAAAAGGAGCCAGGAAGTTAGAGGAAGAAAAACAGAAAGCTTCTTAGGTCCATCATTATTTTTGCCCTTTTGTCATATTTAAGTCAACCTTCTACCTGGGTTTCCTCTTGGGCCTGGTGAACCTCGATTTCCTTTCCGGCCAGGGATGAGTGCACCTGGGACACCTGGTAGCCCTGGGAGTCCTGTTATGCCAGTGGGTCCTCGAGGCCCAGCGTCTCCCACTGCCCCTTTCCTGCCACGCAAGCCGGGCAAGCCTGGGGCTCCCTTGTCTCCTTTGGCGCCTGAAAAACAGAAGAGTTGACATATTTCCATAATGTCCCTATACTTGGAGTTATAGCTTGTGGTGACCTTTAATGACATAGATATTTTACTTAATGGGTTGAGATTCACAGTACCATTTTTAAAAAAGAGGCTGATGAATGAACGCCTGCTACTTGATCTTGACAAAGTCACTTCACCACTGCAAGTCTTCAGTTTTCTTGTTTAAAAAACAGATATAATACTTGTCTGTGGGTGGACATGAACCCACAGCATGATAACCATTTACACCACTCAGGTACTCAAAAATGTGAACCCTTTGGTCAAGAGGAAGCTCTTGCCAACTTGAGCTTCTCAGCAGCATCGGGCTACTCTTTGCTGGTTCTGAGGGAGTATCAAGGACTGAGGCCTTTGTTGGGTGTAGTCTTCTTTGCTAATGAAATACTCCTATCCACAGGACCCCTGCTGAGAATGGTCAAGAAAACTCACTCATGGCCCTCGAGTCAAATCTGACTCATACTGACCCCTCCTTGGGTTTCTAAGGTAGTATCACTATGTAAGTAGATTTCCCAGTCTTCCTTCTGAGGAGTGGCTGGCGGGTTTGAACCACCAGCCTTCTGGTTAGCAGTCAAATGCCTTAGCTAAACTATTTCTCCACAAAATGTTGAGGAGTTAAAAGGAGCTGCTTATCTTGTAAATACTTCCATGAGAAATCCAGACTTGTAGTCTGTCAGACAAAAAACCAGTACACATTTTGAGTGGCAAGTTCAATAAATGACCATGTCTGGGATGCTGAGAGAGTTACTGGGTAACCATTAATAAAAAATAGTATAAACTACAAGCTATGGGGATTGGATCAGATCTAGAAAGATTCCAAGGTGGGAAAGAATTGGTATTATTACTGTATCTTTGAATGGCAGGATGTGCTGCTCCTGGAGAAATTATCAATTGCACATCCCTACTTCAGGAGCTCTGGTGACACAGTGGTTAAGAGCTTAGTTGCTAATCAAAAGGTCAGTAGTTCAAATCCACCAGCTGGGGGAGAAAGATGTGGCAGTCTGCTTCCATAAAGATTTATAGTCTGAGAAACACGATGGGGCAGGTCTACTCTGTCCTGTATGTTGCTGTGAGTTGAATTTAACTCGATGGCAATGGATTTGGTTTTGGTTTACTTTTAGGAGGTGATAAATTTAAATCACACTAACAACAAGAACCAAGTAAATGAGAGAACCCTTTTTAGTTTTAAAGACTTTCATAGAAGACCATTTTAAAACAGGATCACAGATTCTAATTTGCTCACTTTGTTATGATGACAATAAATAAGCATTTTAAATTGAAAACCAAGAATACAAATATCTTATATTACCGCTGGGGCTTCTTTAGTGTAATATGTTAAGCCTGTATTATATGTCAGCCGTGTTAAACTAGATTCTGCCCTTGAAAACGTCTTTCAGTGGGTTCAAGGAAGAACTCACCTTGAGCACCGGGGTTTCCTTTTGGACCCATAAGTGCCCCAAGCAAACCTGAAAGAGGAAATCCTGGCATATTAAAATTTATGATTTATATATGGGTAATTTCATCATATATATATATACATCATATACATCTGCTTGTATTTCCTTCTGGCCAGAGAGGGAAGTTTTAACTATCCCAATCTAAGAACACGCTAAACATCATCAGTTCTACCAGAAAAGAACATTCAGAGAAGTTAAAGGTTCCAGTGTCACTAGTTATTGCTCCCCAGAGAAAATTGGTGCATCAGAGCCGATGGGCCAGTTGTACCTGATTCTCCCTTTTCTCCAGCTGGACCAGGAAATCCATCATGTCCTTGGATACCTCTTACACCCACTGCTCCAGGAGGTCCTGGGAATCCTGGGGGGCCTAAGAAAATAAAATACATGGCATTCAAAGAGAGAATTTATTTCCTACCAAAGGTCTAATGCAAAAACCAAAGAGATGTGTAGGATTTAGTTGTTGTTGTTGTTGTTGTTGTTTGCCGTCGAGTCGGCCCCGACTCATAGCGACCCCTCCTTGGGTTTCCGAGGCAGTATCACTACGGAAGT